GCCCCCGCCCACGCCATCACCGACAATGGCGCCGACGCCGAGCCCGACGCCGAGCCCGACGTCCGCGCTATCCCCGACTTCTTCGACGGCGTCGTCCGCCACCGGCGACCCACACCTGCAGAACATGTTCGGTCAGCGGTTCGACTTGGCGAGGCCAGGCATCTCTGTCTTGGTCAGCGTTCCGCGCGGAATGCCCGTCGAGGACGCGTTGCTTGCTGTAAAGGCCGATGCACGTCGATTGGGGGCACATTGCTCAGACATGTACTTCCAGGAGATCAACGTCACAGGGACATGGGCGCACAAGGCGCAGCCTGGAGGCTTCCACTTCGACGCTCGCGGCGATCGCGCGGAAAAGCCGAGGTGGCTGAAACTCGGACCGGTGCAGCTCAAAGTCGGCAACGGGCATACCGACAAGGGGCAGCGTTATTTGAACGTTTACGTCAAGAACCTTCAGCGTGCTGGGTTTCCTGTCGGAGGGCTGCTGGGAGAGGATGACCACGCGGAGGCGGCGGCCCCTGAGGAAAGGTGCCAAAAGCTTCTGTCCATGGAAGCACATGCATACGGTCAGCTTCAACAGGACTCCGTCGCTTTCGGCTACTGAGCCGCGCGGCGCGGTCGAGCCCGCCCGCGACAGGACGGCTCGCCGGTCGGTCGCTACCCATCGATCGGATTGTGAAGAGTGCGTATTTACTCTTCACCTTTTGAGCGATATTCTTTGTGCAGCGCACTGAGACGATTCTGAGAAACATGACACCACAGAAAAGTCCCAATCTGCGGATTTCAGATTTTGACGCGGGTGCCTCGATCGGCCTTCCTCCCGCCCTAGTCCACTTTGAATCTACGTTGTAGTCCAGTCTAGTTACTATCTGCTCCTCCCTCTCTCTCTCTCTCTCTTTTTCTGCCGGAGGTTGAGGGGGATCGAAGTGGAACGGAGAGCCCCCCACCATGAAACCGGTTTTGGTTTCGGTTTTGCGTCGTGCGTGCGGGCGAGGCGAAGCTGCGTGGGCGGGCGAGAGGATTGATTCCGCTGTGGCCAGGGCGGGTCAAGAGCCATTGACCGCTCCTCCGCCATGCCCAGTGGGCGTGCGGTGGCCGGGTTGTCCCGCCGTGGTGTCCCGTCGTTGTCCGCCTCCCCCGCCCGCGATGGGCGGGCGGTGGCTTGGTTGTCCCGCTGTGGTGTCCTGTCGGTGTCCCGTTGGTGTTCCGCGGCTGTCCCGTCGCTGTCTCGTCGGTGTCCCTTCGCTGTCCCGTCGCTGTCCCGTCGCTGTCCCGTTGGTGTCCCGTCGGTGTTCCTTTGGTATCCTGTCAGTGTCCTGTCGGTGTCCCGCTGGTGTCCCGTGGTGAGATCGATCGAGTGGGAGCGGGGGTGGGATCACATCGCGGCGCAGCATCGTCACCACGCGTCGTCGCCCACTCGAGGGCGCATCACCAGGGCCAGTCCTGGGCCAAAACCGAAATTAGCCTGGCGAAAGACCCAACCATAAGCAAGTGTTAATACCGCAATTGTGGGCATCATCTTCGGTGGAGCTCCCTATGGGGCCACGAACCGTGTGAGGGGTGCGCCAAAATGGGGCGGGGCCGCCATGCGGACCGGCCCTGAGGGTCAGGGTCGGTTCTGGGTCAGGAATTGTCGGGTGGGTGGTTCCAAAGAACAGAGGTGGTCAGAGTCGGTTTGGGGCCAGGAGTTGTCGGGTGGGGGGTCCAGAAACGGAGGTTTGAGGACGCAAGGGGTGTCCACCTGGTGGGGGCCTCGTGGGGACCTGGTACGGGGTTCGGGTCGTCTTTGGGCCAGGAACTGTCGGGTGGGGAGTCCCAAGAGCAGAGATCCCAGGACGGCGAGGTGTCGGGCCCCAAGAGCAGAGGTCCCGCGGCGGCGGGGATGTCCTCCCGGAGGGGGCGTCGTGGGGACCCGGCAGTGGGTCAGGGTCGGCTCTGGGGGAGGCATTTTCGGGCGGGGGGCCCCTAAGAACAGAGGTCCCAGGATGGGTGGGGTGTCTACCTGGTGGGGGCCTTGTTGGGACCTGGCCAGTGGGTCAGAGGGAGGAGGGAGGAGGGAGGAGGGAGGAGGAGGAGGAGGAGGAGGAGGAGGAGGAGGAGGAGGAGGAGGGCCGACCCTGGGCCAGGAGTTCTCGAGCGAGGAGCTCCACGGACAGAGGTCCCGGGACGGTGGGGGTGTCCACCTGGTGGGGGGGTCGTGGGGACTCTGGGGGGGGGCGTGAGGGCCAGTCCCGGGCCAGGACTTCTCTGGCAGGGGCGTCCACAGAGCAGAGGTCCCAGGACGGTGGAGGTGTTGCGCGGCGCTGAGGCGAGAGCCACATTTTGAAAACGGCCCGCCCTCCGTTTGTGAAACTCTTGTCCGTCTTTCCCGGAAAGGGTGCGGGCCCAGGATTTCTTCTCCCGGAACTGCGGGGGCCCAGGGTGGTCTTTTAGTTGTTTGACCTTCTTGCCTCTACCTGAAGGAGGCCGGCGAATTCATTATGTGATAATAACGGTGTCGAGGAGGGCCGGCGAATTACAAAGTTGAGGTTGTCACGAGCGAAACGCTGGTTTTTGAAATTCCGATCGATCAATCAGATGGTGAAGTGCACAGTTTCGTTTGTTGCGGCTGTCTCGAGCGAAACGCTTGCATTGCAGAATTGATTGAGGAGGTCTCGGGCGAAACGCTTATTTTGTGTCATAAATGTGTCCTCTCCTGGGGGCCAGAATTCAGGTGATATCTCAGGTGAAGTGATTGTTTTCATGTGTTCAGGACTTTGGAGTGTCTCGAGCGAGACGCTTGGTTTTACGCGTCCAGGTTGCCCAGGCAGATACCTAGCATGAGGAATTGCTGAGGATGTCTCGAGCGAGACGCTTGTTTTCATGCGTCCAGGTCGCCCAGGCAGATGTCCAGCATGATGTTATGTTGAGGATGTCTCGAGCGTTCACGTGCCCAGGTCGCCCAGGTGGATGTCTAGCATGAGGATGTGTTGAGAACGTGTCCAGGATGTATCGAGTGAGACGCTTGTTTTCATGTGTCCAGGTCGCCCAGGCGGATGTCTAACATGAGGATATGTTGAGGATGTCTCGAGCCTCGAGCGAAACGCTTGTCGCAGTAGAGCGCATCGCAGTCCAAACCCGCCCGTCCGTGGGGCGTCCCCTGGCTCGCTGGCGCGTCCCCTGGCGCGTCCCTTGCGATGTTATGGCGTGACGTGCCCTGGCACGTCCCCTAGCACGCCACTCGGCGTGGCACGTTCCCTGGCTCGTCCTCTGTCGCGTTTCCTGGCTCGTCCCCAGGCGTTTCCTCTACGCGTTCCGTGGTGCGCCTCTTGCAACGTCCCTCGGCATGACGTCCTCTGGCCACCCCATGGCACGTCCCGTGGCAGGTCCTTGACACGTCCAGGGCACGTCCCCTGATACGTCCCCTGACACGCCCCCTGGCGCATGTCTTATGGCGCCCCTGGCACGTCTTGTGGCGCGTCCGTGAGCCTGTGCCCCGTGTCGTGTCGTTCCTTTTCGGAGCCTAGTCGGATTTTAAAGTCGATCTGGGGCAGCTGCTACGTGCTCAGGCAGCTCGAGCTTAAGATCCAGATCGGTTCGGTCAGGACTCGGATGCAAAGAAGGACTCGATCAACAGCGCTATAGAGCACAATCGCGGCATGGCAAAACCGCAATTCTGCACGGCGCAGCACGGTACATCAAGATCGATACATTCAGCATTGCAATTGCCCGTCGCCCAATCAGGTGTCTTGAAAACGTTGCCATGCCTCACATCTCTATAGATTCCTTTCCGGGTTCGTGGGTCAATCATGTTTTTTCCCATTCCTCTTGTGTTGGGTTCTCGTTTTGAATCGAGCATTGGTCGAGTCTCCTCCTTCCTCGCCCCCCCTCCTGCCGCCTGCCTCCTACTTCCTGCCTCATGTTTCCTCTTCCTTGTCTTCCTCGACCCTTCTCGTGGGGGGCCCAGCGGAGGGGAGTTGTAAACACCCAGACGAGACCTCGCGGTTCCCTGAGGGGGCTGCGAACTGCGCATTTGTCGCCACTTTCGTGGGCTCGTGGGAGCCCCGGCGTTGCCGAGATGTAAACGCACCCAGCCAAGACCTCGTGGTTCCCTGAGGGGTCTGCGAAGTGCACAACTGACGCCACTTTCCTAGCTTCCTGGGAGGCGCAGCGGAGTGGCGTTTCAAACGCACCCAGCCGAGACTTCGCGGCTTCCTGGGGTGGCTGCGAAGTGCGCAGTTGTCGCCTGCTGCGTGGGCTCGCGGGAAGCCCAGCGGAGTGGAGTGGCAAGCACACCCAGCCGAGACCTCGCGGCGCCCTGGGTGGCTATGAACTGCGCAGCTGTCGCCAGTTTCGTGGGCTCCCGGGAGACCTAATGCCGAGTGGAGCTGTAATTACACCCGGCCGAGACCTGAGACCTCGCGGTTCCCCGAGGGGGTTGCGAACTGCGCATTTGTCGCCACTCTCGCAGGCTCTTGCGGGTCCTTCAAGGTGTTCGCTTGCATTGACCAGTGCTGTGTATCGTCGCCGCATATACAGACAGTGTTGGGTGCGTCGCAGGGTAATGTTTGATTGGCCTTCGACGTTACCTGGATCGGAGCTGGGCCGCCTTGGCAGCACCTCCGGCGCCGCCCCTGGCGCGCGCCAAGGAGGGGAGTTCAGCGCAGATCCCAGAAATTTGCGCGGAGCTCCGAAGGTTCATTTTTATGCCGTGCTTTGTCCCTTTAGATCGGTTCAAGGTTGGTCGACGTAGGAGTGAAGAGGCAAGCTGGTCTTTTTCAGCCTAGGCCTCCTAGATGGGGTAGGGATAAGGCCAGCGACGACGACGAGGCCTCCTGGATGGCCTTGGCCTAGGGTGAGGAGGGGCAGGGATCAGCTCGAGGCTGACCAAGGTAGGAGTGGAGCCCAGGGAGACGAGGGAGTTGAGCCCGAGGCTGCAGAACGTGGGGGTTGAGCTCGAGGCTGGCCATCGTAGTTCTCAGCCCACGGAGGCGAGGCCGGACCTCCCCGCCCCTGGCGCCCAGGTCGCGGCGATAGCGCTGGGGGCCCTGGCCGCCAAGAGCGCCGCGCACCAG